TCCATGGTGCCGGAAGCCCATCAGGGCTCCCTCAGGGCCCCTCCCCCAGGGCCGGGGCTCCCTCGCCTGCCCCCTCCCCCTCCTCCTCCTCCTCCTCCTCCTCCTCCTCCTCCTCCTCCTCCTCCTCCTCCTCCTCCTCCGCCCCCGTCGGCATATCCAGGCGTGTTATGCAGTCAGGTCGTCCGTCCGGAAACGGTGCCGGAGGCCGCTCTGGGCTCCTCTGGGCATCCCCCCCGGGGCCCGTTTTGTGAGGATGTCTCAGGCGAGGGCGCCGGTTTGGGATTCGTCACCGGATCCAGCGGATCCAGCGGATCCGTCCGGAAACGGTGCCGGAGGCCGCTCTGGGCTCCTCTGGGCATCCCCCCCGGGGCCCGTTTTGTGAGGATGTCTCAGGCGAGGGCGCCGGTTTGGGATTCGTCACCGGATCCAGCGGATCCAGCGGATCCGTCCGGAAACGGTGCCGGAGGCCGCTCTGGGCTCCTCTGGGCATCCCCCCCGGGGCCCGTTTTGCGAGGATGTCTCAGGCGAGGGCGCCGGTTTGGGATTCGTCACCGGATCCAGCGGATCCAGCGGATCCGTCCGGAAACGGTGCCGGAGGCCGCTCTGGGCTCCTCTGGGCATCCCCCCCGGGGCCCGTTTTGTGAGGATGTCTCAGGCGAGGGCGCCGGTTTGGGATTCGTCGGATCCAGCGGATCCAGCGGATCCAGCGGATCCGTCCGGAAACGGTGCCGGAGGCCGCTCTGGGCTCCTCTGGGCATCCCCCCCGGGGCCCGTTTTGCGAGGATGTCTCAGGCGAGGGCGCCGGTTTGGGATTCGTCACCGGATCCAGCGGATCCAGCGGATCCGTCCGGAAACGGTGCCGGAGGCCGCTCTGGGCTCCTCTGGGCATCCCCCCCGGGGCCCGTTTTGTGAGGATGTCTCAGGCGAGGGCGCCGGTTTGGGATTCGTCACCGGATCCAGCGGATCCACTGGCCGGTGCTCAAGCGGATTGGAAACACCGCGCCGGTTCTTGTAGCTGGGGGCCCAGCGGGAGCCAAGCGGTGACGGGCCGCCCAGGTGGCAATGCGACCTAGTGCATCCTCCTCCACTCCTTCTTCTCCTATCCCGTGCCCTCGTCGTCGTGGATGGGGCCGACGAATGGTCATGCGCTGTCCGTGAGGACGCACCTTTTTCTAGTGCAGCCTGTGACCGGGGTGAGTCTTGTTGGTCCACAGGCACTGCCCCGGTCACGGGCTGCAGCGGCGTTGGGTATTTTCAGGAACCTCGAGGTTCCGAGCCTGGTGACACACATAAGTTTACATCTAATATATATCATACGCGCGTCTTTATTGCGGTTCGCAGCCGTGTTCTGGAATGTGTGTATATGTGTAAACATGTGCGTATAATACATACATCACGATTGGTGCATGCATATTTCCTGCTGGATTTTGAAGATTGTTGCTCTAGGGGACCCTCCGGGAAGTCCTCGTGGAGCCTTCTTGGGGCGTCTTGGAGGCCTCTGGAACCGTCTTGAAGCCATGCTGGGCGTTTTGGAACGATCTGAGGCTGTCTGGGGAGCCTCTTGGATTGTCTTGGGGTTGGAAGGACGAAACCAACGGGGCGACAGCCTCTCCAACTGGGGGGGGGGCTCCCCCCCCCCAGGAGCCTTAATATCCCCGGGGCCCGCCTCTGGGATCCCCCCTTTCGAATCAACGACGCCAGTGTTGGATGCCTTTTGAGCTGACGTGCCCGAGGAGGGGAGGTGACCACAGAGGGGAGGGGAAAGAAGGTGAAAACCACGGAAACGCGAATCCACGGACACGCGAAGCCGTCTTCCCCTCACGCACGCCGACAGGGTCGGCGGATTTTAACTGCAATTTACTGCTGGCGTCAGGGATCGGTCAGAGTCCTGCAGGGCGCATTCGTTTCAAGGGGCGCGGGGATGCCAGGGCAGCGCCCTGCAGCGCTCAAGCGCCCACGCTGGCACGCACGCGCGCGCATCAATGCGCGAATGGAATTCCAGACGCACGCGAGCTCAGGAGGGCACTGAAATACAGGAAACAGAAAACTATAGCCAGAGCGCAGTATCCCCAAACAGCGTTTTCAGAGCCAGGGTGGATCCTGAGTCTGTTCGCGCGTCCTGCAGTTATCGTCCTCCTGCTCTTGATCGGCACGCCCCGTCGTCATCGTCGTCTACGTGCTCCTCTTGGGAAATATCATTCTCGCCTCTCCCGCCTGCCTTCCCACTCCACCTCTTTCTCCCCCTTCTAGTCACATTCCTCCTCTTACCCTCCTTTCCTTCCTCCTCATCGTTATCCTCCTCATATTCCTGATGCCTTGCTTCCGCCTTCTCCCATGCATCCTTGCCCCACTTCACATTATCCTTATCCTCCTGGTTCTCTTTCTCTTCTGCCACATCGTCGTCACCGCGGCGTTGCGTTCTGTGCCGCTGTGCGATGCCTTTTTTGCGTTGCAATGCTTTGTGATGCAATGCTTCACTACGCAATGCCACACCATGCTATGACATGCTAATTACGCTCTGCCGTGCTCCTCTACGCCGTGCTATGCCGTGCTCTACCATGCATCGCGTGCCCTCCTCCGCCTCCAGGCCTTGGAAGGCCGAGGCGACGACGACAACGACGACGACAATCGCGCAATCACGCAATCACGACGACGACCACGACGACGGCGACAACGACGACGACGACGACGACGAGCAGCAGCAGCGGCAGGTGGACGGGCGGGGAGCCGCCGGGGAGGCGGGTCGCTCAGGCAGGGCCGACGCGCCCCCGACGGAACCCGCGCCCGCGGAGGGGCGCGCCGCGGGGTGCCCCGTTCAGCACCCCGTTCAGCACCACGCTGGGCGAGACTAGGGGCCGGTTCACCTCGCGATCGGCAGCTTGGAGCCCGGAGTTGCGAGGACGTCTCAGGCGAAACGGCCCGGACGACCTCTCGCGCGGCAGCTCGGAGCCCAGAGCTTCGAGGATGTATCAGGCGAAACGGGCCAGACCACCTCGCGCGGCAGCTCGGAGCTCAGATGCACGAGGATGTCTCAGGCGAAACGCCTAATCCCGGACAGCTCAGAAACGAGAATTGTGAGGATGTCTCAGGCGAAACGGCCCGAAACGCCAGATTTTGCTGAGGACGTCTTTGCTTGGAATTCCCTCGGCCGGAGCCAGCTTCTAGCACAACAGCACCCCGTTCAGCAAGCTGTTTGGGGAACAAGCGGAAGCAGCAGCGGCGGAAAGAGCAGGAGGAGGGGGAGCAGCAGCAACAGCAGCAGCAGCAGCAGCAGAAGGAGCAGGAACAGGTAGAGAGGAGAGTGGATAAGAAGGCTGAGGACGAGGACGATGAGTACGAGTACAAGTACGAGGACGAGAGCGAATACGGAGCGAGGCGAATAAGAGCGATAGCGAACAGGAAAGAAACGGAAAGAAAGACAAGGCGGGAGAGGGGGGAGGGAGAATGAAGGTTCCCCCAACTGTCCCCGGAGGGGGGGGGAATCCCCCCCCCCCCGGGGGCACTCCGGACCTGTCTGGAGTGTCCTACACTTTGAAAACACGATGATTCGGAATGTCCGACGGAAGCCCCCAGCTCCAAGGACACCGTCCTCCCCCCACGACGGGCCCCCAAGGACACTCCGGACCTGTCTGGAGCGTCCCCCGGGGGGGGGGGATTCCCCCCCCCCTGGGGGACAGTCAGAGGAGGCCTCAGAGCGCACCGCCGCAAGCAGTCATAGTATCACATCACCTCCCTTCATCCTCAACTTCCCCTTCCCCTTCCGACTATCCATCCTCGTCTGCCTCGTACTCGGACGCATCGTCCTCGTCCTCAGCCTTCTTATCCCCTCCCTGTACCTTTTCCTGCTCCTTCTGCTGCGGCTGCTGATGCCCCCCCTCCTCCTGCTCCTTCTGCTGCTGATGCTGCTGCTCCCGTTCGTTTTTTTTTGTTTCCTGTAATTCAGTGCCCCCCCGAGCTCCCAGGCGTCTGGAATTCCATTCGCGCGTTGATGCGAGCGCGCGTGCCAGCGTGGGCGCATTGATGCGCGCGCGAGCGTGCAGGGCGCTGCCCCGGCATCCCCGCTCCCCTTGAAACGAATGCGCCCTGCAGGACTCTGACCGATCACTGACACCAACAGTATATTGCTGTTAAAATCCGCCGACCCTGTCGGCGTGCGTGAGAGGAAGACGGCTTCGCGTGTCCGCGGATTCGCGTTTCTGCGGCTTGCACCTTCGCCCCCCCCCCCCCCCCCTCCGTGGTCACCTTTCCTCCTCGGGCACGTCAGCTCAATTATAGCTAGAGTGCATAATCCCCGAACGGCGTTTTTAGAGCCAGGGTGGATCCTGAGTCTGTTCGCGCGTCCTGCAGTTATCGCCCTCCTGCTCTTGATCGGCATGCCCCGTCGTCATCGTCGTCTACGCGTTCCTCTTGGGAAATATCATTCTCGCCTCTCCCGCCTGCCTTCCCACTCCACCTCTTTCCCCCCTTCTAGTCACATTCCTCCTCCTACCCTCCTTTCCTCCTCATCGCTATCCTCCTCATATTCCTGATGCCCTGCTTCCGCCTCCTCCTATACATCCTCGCCCCACTTCGCATTATCCTCCTCATCCTCCTGGTACTCTTTCTCCTCTGCCTCATCGTCGTCACCGCGGTGTTGCGTTGGGTGCCGCTGTGCGATGCCATGTTCTGCGTTGAGTGCTTTGTGACGCAATGCTTCACTACGCAATGCCACACCATGCCATGACATGCTAATTACGCTCTGCCGTGCTCCTCTACGCCGTGCTATGCCGCGCTCTACCATGCATCGCGTACCTCCTCCGCCTCCAGGCCTTGGAAGGCCGAGGCGACGACGACAACGACGACGACAATCACGCAATCACGCAATCACGACGACGACGACGACGACCACGACGACGACGACGACGACCACGACGACGACGACGACGACGACGACGACGACGACGACGATGACGACGACGACGACGACGACGACGAGCAGCAGCAGCAGAAGGAGGAAGACGGGCGGGGAGCCGCCGGGGAGCCGGGTCGTTCAGGCAGGGCCCACGCGCCCCCGATGGAATCCGTGGGGCGCGCCGCGGGGCGCCCCGTTCAGCACCCCGTTCAGCACCCTGTTGGGCGAGACTGGGGGCCGGCTCACCTCGCGATCGGCAGCTCGGAGTTTGGAGTTGCGAGGACGTCTCAGGCGAAACGGCCCGGACGAACTTTCGCGCGGCAGCTCGGAACCCAGAGCTTCGAGGATGTATCAGGCGAAACGGGCCGGACCACCTCGCGCGCGGCAGCTCGGAGCTCAGATTCGGGAGGGTGTCTCAGGCGAAACGCCCAAACCCGGACAACTCAGAAACGAGAGTTGTGAGGATGTCTCAGGCGAAACGGCCCGAACCACCAGATTTTGTTGAGGACGCCTCTGCTTTGAATTCCCTCGGCCGGAGTTAGCTTCTACCACAACAGCACCCCGTTCAGCAAACTGTTTGGGGAGAAAGCATCCAGCACTGGCGTCGTTGATTCGAAATGGGGGGTCCCAGCGGCGGGCCCCGGCGGGGGGTTTAGGGGGGGCCCCCAGCGGGGGGCACCCCCACACTGGGAGAAGCTCTCGTCCATTTGACTTCTTCCTTCCAGCCCCAAGACAAGAGGCCCCCCAGACAGCCTCAAATCGTTCCAAAACGCTCAATGTGGCTTCAAGACGGTTCCAGGCTTCCAGGACGCCCAAAAAAGGCTCCAGGAGGACTTCCCAGAGGGTCCCCTACAGCAGCAATCTTTAAAATCCTGCGTGAAATATGCGCGCGCCAATCGTGATGTATGTATACACATGTTTACACATATACGCACATTTCAGAACACAGCTGCGACCCGCAGTAAGGACGCGCGTGTGATATGGCATATGTAAAATTATGTGCGTCGCCAGGCATGGAACCTCGAAGTTCCGAAAAGGGGCCCAGCGCCGTTGCAGCCTGCGGGCGCGGTAGTTCTTGGGGGCCAACAAGAATTACCCCGGCCGCAGGCTGCACTAGAAACAAATGCTTCCTCACAAACAGCGCAAGACCATTCGCCGGGCCCATCCACGACGAGAAGGGCACGGGATGGGAGAAGGAGGAGCGGAGGAGGATGCGCCAGGTCGCGCTGCCACTTGGGCCCCGACACGGCCTGGCTCCCGCCGGGCCCCCAGCTGCAAGAACCGGCGCGGTGTTTCCAATCCGCCTGAGCACCGGCCAGTCCAGCGGATCCGTCCGGAAACGGTGCCGGAGGCCGCTCTGGGCTCCTCTGGGCATCCCCCCCGGGGCCCGTTTTGTGAGGATGTCTCAGGCGAGGGCGCCGGTTTGGGATTCGTCACCGGATCCAGCGGATCTAGCGGATCCGTCCGGAAACGGTGCCGGAGGCCGCTCTGGGCTCCTCTGGGCATCCCCCCCGGGCCCGTTTTGTGAGGATGTCTCAGGCGAGGGCGCCGGTTTGGGATTCGTCACCGGATCCAGCGGATCCAGCGGATCCGTCCGGAAACGGTGCCGGAGGCCGCTCTGGGCTCCTCTGGGCATCCCCCCCGGGGCCCGTTTTGTGAGGATGTCTCAGGCGAGGGCGCCGGTTTGGGATTCGTCACCGGATCCAGCGGATCCAGCGGATCCGTCCGGAAACGGTGCCGGAGGCCGCTCTGGGCTCCTCTGGGCATCCCCCCCGGGGCCCGTTTTGTGAGGATGTCTCAGGCGAGGGCGCCGGTTTGGGATTCGTCACCGGATCCAGCGGATCCAGCGGATCCAGCGGATCCGTCCGGAAACGGTGCCGGAGGCCGCTCTGGGCTCGTGCTCTTCGCGCCGGGGGTGAGGATGACGTGAGTTCCACAGAAACTCCCTCAAATTAGTATTATTATTATTATACTTAGTAAAATTATCATGATTATCATTATGATTATTATTATGATTATTATTATTCTTAGTATAAGTATTATTATTATTGGTATTATTATTAATATTATTATTAAGCGGCGCTCTTTTGTCCATGAAGATTCCTTTCCATGGTGTCCTACGGAATCCACAAACGCACCATTTGGTCATAAGGATTTGTTCTAACATTCCATATGCAAGAATGGTGCTGTGTTGCAAGCGGTTGCTGTGGTGCACACAAGCGCCATGGTGCACACAGGCACTGCAATGCACGCAGGCATTGTGGTGTACACTGGTGCTGTGTTGCACACGGCTGATATGGTGTACGCAAGCGTTGTGGTGTACACAACAGGTGTTGTGCCCGCAGGCACGGTGGCACAAACTGACGTTGTGCTGCACGCGGCTGCTGTGGTGTACATAGGCGGCGTGGTGTACACAGGCGCTGTGGTGCACGCAGGCACTGTGGTGTACACAAGCATTGTGGTGCAAATCGCCACCTACATGCTGGTGATACCCGTTCTCCGTCATTTTTAAGCATTCCCAGAAGCCGCCAGCCGGCGCGAAACGTGACGTCATCGACCGGAAAATAAAAACAGGCTGAAGCCGCGTCCGCGCGCACGACGACGACGAC